CAATATGTGACGGCGTTTAGAAAAAAGTCTCTGTAACTTTTCATTGCGGAATGACGAAATGACAGAATGAAGGAATAAAGGACAAGGGTAAAACTGAACCGCCCTGACCTAAGTCGGCGGCCATAAATATTATGACAACCATTTAAAAATATGTAAAACAATATGACCAATTTGTCCTGGTCACATAGGGCCAGGTGCATAAGAAGTATTCTTCCTCCTAATGGATGCAGGAGTGGAAAATTACTATTATAGAAGACAGAAGTTGGTTTCACAAAAAAACTTAAGACTAAGATTGGTCGTAAGTATACTGAATTGTTCATGACTTACGATCAATCTTAGTCGTAAGTTTTTTTGTGAAACCGACTCCAGATGTTTAAAAGAGTCTTATGAATAATGTTTTTAATATTACATGTATTTATAAATATTTTTATAAATTTTACAGAATTGCAACAATACAACATTACCATGATTACTACACTGAATAATAAAATCTAATATAAAATGAGAAAAATAATACTTTGTGAAGGTCCATCTGCCAATGTGGCCTCCATGGCAAACAATATAAATATCACAAGCGTCGTAGCCAGCTGAACTTATGCACTGTATAATATTGATGGAAGAGAATTCTAAATTGATAAAAAAAAATATAAAAGTTTAATTCTAAGGTTATGGATAATTGTTACTAAGCTTAGGTTTTGAAGGTGTATATATGTCTTCAATATATATATATATATGTATATGATATTTTCAGATTTACCATCTTTATCACTATGGACATGAAATACATTTTTCTGGTGCATACATAATTCATGTAATCTTGGCATTTAATTTTTATGCTAGACAATATTTACCTAACCCCTAAGACTTTAAACCTTGCCATAACACAATATTTTTTCTGTATCAATTTCAGTTTGAAAATCTAAAGAGATATTTGAACGAAACTCATAAATCGTTTAATCAAATTTTCAATAGAAAAATAAATGAAAAAGTTAGTTTCAGTCAAAATATATTTATATTTGTTTACACATTCATGCCATTGTATTTAAACAGGGTCAAAACAAAAGGGATTTGGTAAATTACACCTAGTCTGATAATATAACAGAAGTAAATTAATAGGGGTTATCTGATTGGTCAGTTAATTGTTGTGATGTATTCAAGAAAATAATGTATACCATGCACAACTGGTGCATCATATTCACTTATGCATAATTTTGTATAACAAACAAGGCACATGACAATATATATTGTATAAATGTATACATATATAACTTAGTAACTATAAATAAATAATACACTGATTTAAAATTACAATAATAAACATCAACATATATATTGAACTATGGTCTACTAATCACAAATTTTCTCAAGAGTAAATATATAATTATATATTGATCATCACATCTTGCAGTATTCATCCTGAATTACTCTTCAACTCTAGCTTTTTATCATTTTATTAAATTTGTCTTATCATATTTTTTCTACTTTTTTTCTAAAAGATTATCACACCTAAACTTGTCTTACTTAAAATATCTGATTAATATTTGTCTTTAAAAACTTATCTCCCTTTTTATAAAATTGAGAATGGAAATGGGGAATGTGTCAAAGAGACAACAACCCGACCAAAGAGCATAAAACAACCCAAGGCCACCAATGGGGTTTCAACACAGCGAGAAAATTCCGCACCCGGAGGCGGGCTTCAGATGGTCCCTAAACAAAAATGTGTACTAGTTCAGTGAAAATGGACGTCACACTAAACTCCGAAACATATAAATGAACTAAAATTAAAAAAACATACAAGACTTACATTAAGGCCAGAGGCTCCTGACTTGGGACAGGTGCAAACATGTGGCGGGGTTACACAATATAGCCTATATAATAACTAACTGACAATCGCCCCTTATATAACCTATTTAAATAACAGAATCCTGACTACATGCCCTTATATAACTTATTCAAATAATTAAATTCTTGTTATCTCCCCTTCTACAACCTATTTTTGGGGTATAAACACAACCACAGAATATCCATTTGACATTTTCAAACAATAGTGCACACACTGAAATATCTCTCCTGCTTTACTTATCTCGATTGAATTTCATACCATACACCGAATATAGTTACCCTAGAGCTTGCTTATAATATTGGTGAAACAGACCTAATTACTAAAATTGAACATTTACCAATGAACCATATAGATAAGGTCAAGGTCAGATGAACCCTGCCAGTTAACATGAACACTTTTTTTCCATACATTGAACGTAATTGACCTATTGCTTATAGTATATGAGAAACAGACATATCTATCAAAACTTAACATTGATTTATAATGAACCATGAAAATGAGGTCAATGTCAGACGAACCCTGCCAGACAGACATGCTCATCTAACAATCATTCCATACACCAAATAACGCTGACCTATTGCTTATAATATCAGATTATTATAGTATCTAAGAAACAGACCAAAGCACAAAAAATTAACTTTGACCAATGAACCATGAAAATGAAGTAAAGGTCAGATGAAACCTGCCAGTTGGACATGTACACCTTACAATCAATCCACACGCCAAATTTAGTTGACCTGTTGCTTATAATAGTATATGAGATACTGACTTGACCACCTAAACTAAACCTTGATCACTGATCCATGAAATGAGGTTAAACCATAAAAATGAGGTCAATGACAATGAACATATAAATATGACACACAGAAACTTCATAACAAAAGTGCATACAAGGTATAAAGCATCCAGGTCTTCTACCTTCTCAAATGTAAAGCTTTATATAAATTGTTTAAGCCATTCCTGCATCTGTTGCTGGATTGTAATCACTATGTCTCCCATTCTGCTACTCTAGTCACAGGAGAGAAAAAAGTGTGCAGATTATAGCTTTGTTTGATGGGCAAAAATGAAGTTTTATCCTGTCCAGTACTACAATGACAAATTCACACAATGTTTCATTGCATATTAAAAACTTAACTTCCTTTAAAGTAAACAACTTTCTTTTTCATATTTACAAGCATAAGGAAATAGTTCACTGCATGTTTTAAAAATATTAAGTAGGAAACCAAATATAAAACAAGAGGCTCTCAAGAGCCTGAATCGCTCACCTGTATTTCAGAGGAGAAGATTTTTAAATGTAAGCAAACTTGATGAACAAATTGTGTAAAATTGTCTTTAAAGGGCAATAACTCCTTAAGGGGTCAATTGACAATTTTGATCGTATTAACTTTTTTGTAGATCTTACTTTGCTGAACATTATTGCTGCTTACAGTTTATATATATCTATAATAATATTCAAAATAATCACAAAAAACTGCAAAATTTTGTTAAAACTACCAATTCGGTGGCAGAAACTCAACAATGGGTTGTTCGATTCGTCTGAAAATTTCAGGGCCGATAGATCTTAATTTTACCCCAGTCATATTTGCTCTAAAAGATTTAGTTTTTGAGATATAAGCCAAAAACTGCATTTGACCCTTATGTTCTAATTTTAGCCATGGCGGCCATGTTTGTCGATGGATACAAACTTCGGATACAATTTATAAACAAGATACCCTAAGGAACATTTAGTAAAAGTTTGAAGGTAATTGGCCCAGTAGTTTCAGAGGAGAAGATTTTTAAATGTTAGCAAACTTGATGAACAAATTGTGTAAAATTGTCTTTAAAGGGCAATAACTCCTTAAGGGGTCAATTGACAATTATGGTCATATTAACTTTTTTGTAGATCTTACTTTGCTGAACATTATTGCTGCTTACAGTTTATATATATCTATAATAATATTCAAAATAATAACAAAAAACTGCAAAATTTTGTTAAAACAACCAATTCGGTGGCAGCAACCCAACAATGGGTTGTTCGATTCGTCTGAAAATTTCAGAGCTGATAGATCTTGACCAATTGAACAATTTTATCCCATGTCAGATTTGCTCTTAAAGCTTTAGTTTTTGAGATATAAGCCAAAAACTGCATTTGACCCCTATGTTCTATTTTTAGCCATGGCGGCCATGTTTGTCGATGGATCAAAACTTCGGATACAATTTATAAACTAGATACCCTAAGGAACATTTAGTTAAAGTTTGAAGGTATTTGGCCCAGTAGTTTCAGAGGAGAAGATTTTTGAAATAGTTTACGACGACAGACGACAACAGACGACGACGGACGCCAAGTGATGGCATAAGCTCACATAGGGCCCCGGTGAGCTAAAAATGGTGCCTTATATTAAAACACCCAAGACATATGTTTACAAATGTATGAATGAGACAAAAACATTCTGCACGGAAATCATGAAAATGTAGTTTTTTCTACAACTGTTAAGTTCAACATACTAAAAGGAATTATTTTTGTTGTCCTATTTTAACATTAAACAATAGTGTTTTTTCAGTGATATTACACCTAAAATAATGGCATTACTTAAACCTATTCTAATCATGCAATTCTGAATCAAATTTCATAAGGGTGCAGCCATTTTATATTCTGACCTGGTAAGAACTGAAAACAAAATGTCCCAGGACATTGCAGGATGGATGAAAAAGAATATTCTGCCCCACAAAAAGTAGCTGTGCAGCAAAATAATTCAGCCTTGTAACAGGTGGAAATGAATACTCTTCCCACAAAAAAATCCTTCTGCCCCTGTTGTTCAGTGGTTGTCGTTTGTTGATGTGGTTCATAAGTGTTTCTCATTTCTCGTTTTTTATATAGATCAGACGATTGGTTTTCCTGTTTGAATTGTTTTACACTAGTTATTTTTGGGCCCTTTATAGCTTGCTTATTCGGTGTGAACCAAGGCTCTGTGTTGAAGGCCGTACTTTGACCAATAACTGTTTACTTTTTACACATTATGACTTGGTTGGAGAGTTGTCTCATTGGCACTCATACCACATCTTCTTATATATTAACTTAACAAACCAAACAACATTATGTTGAATTTAACATCAAGGCTAGTCTTGTTAAATAATTCATCATGTAATCTGCAAACTATAAAACTTGCTACATGTCCATTCCTATATTTTTATCTCTTTCTAACCCTTTAACAAATTTATTGCTTTGACTAAGTCATGTTAGTATTTGACATTAAACTGACACCTGCACCATACAGAGGGCACTCAGTGTTCTTCATGTTCTTGGAGAATCAGCATTTTTAATAATCTTTTTTGAAGTAGGTCGCACGGTGACCTATAGTTGTTAACTTCTACGTCATTAGGTCTCTGGTGGAGAATTGTCTCATTGGCACATCATACCACATCTTCCTATCTTTATATTATCTACTCACCCATAATGAGAACAGAATGTGTTTATTTTGTGATTATTAATAGACCGACCGTGCATGACCCTCATGGGTAGTCAAAGTCCTTAAACATCCCCCGTAAAAGTAGTACTAGTTGGAAGACATACGGCAGATTCATTATAGTGAGAAAAAAAAGAGTTTTGGTAAATAATGTTAAATGCAACAACTCCCAAAAAACAAAAAAACAAAACTATAAAAAAACAACATAAAAACTAGCAAAACAAAAACAATGAACTCCCTGATATACTGTAAATTCACAAATTATTGCATGCATTTATTATTATGATTATTGTGATTTTTGAAGAATTGACAAAAATGTGAGTTTAATTATTGCAATTTCTGGAAAATCTGTATAAAGATAAATGTATCAGATATCAGAATATGAGTTCTAATTATTGCAATACCCACACAGTCGCATTATTCCCATTATTAAAAACCTTGCAAAAATTTCTGAATTTTCAGTAATTATATGGAATATAATCCTTACATCTCATATGCTTGACATACTGTACGGCGGTGGTAGCCTATACTGAGGGGGGTCTGAATGTTCTGGAGGAATATAAGATGGGGGACTGACTACACTCCTCCCATTAGATGACAAAAATCCTGTGTCAAAGTTATCAATAACTATTGGAATCTGTGGTCTGAGAGATGTTTCTTCATCATTGTATTCATTCTGAAATATGACGGGTTGTCGATCTGTAAGATAAACAGGTTTTTCAGAGTGCATCACATACTTGTTACGTTTGGCACATTTTCGAACTAGCATAATTATAATGACCACTAATATTACCATTGTTAAAACTGCAACAGGGATCAAAATATAAAACAAATACATTTCATCATTGTAGGATTCAGTTTCCATGTTGGAATTGGTTGATGTCCACAACAGGTCTGTCATATTACAGACATCTTTGAAATCAACAAAAACTCCAGTTACATTGAAAAATGGTGAAAAATAACAACTGAATTCATCCAAGATTGTACCATTTTCATCTGCCATTTGGTAGTATGTGTCTAAAATTTTACTTCTTTCACAGAAATCTGTAGATAAGGATTTGTCTATCCAAGATATAATAAGAAGTTCTGAATCTGCATTTGAGACATGGATCTGAGTGGGATCTGTGAAATCTAACCATTGACTTAGTCCATTGATAAATTTGTAAACATCAAAACTAGAAGGGCTATCATTTCCAAAATAAATTGTAAATTCGTGGCTGTAGGTTTTGGAATTTTCCATCACTTCTAACCTAATTGAATCAACAACACTTTGCTGACATGTATCCATGGCAACCAGACTGACAACATACATATTATCATTGTTTAGGGGAATTCCATAAAGGAACAATCCTGTTTTATCCAGTTTTAACCAAAAATTATCTTCCAAATCAAAGTTGAATAATGCCTTTAAAGTAATCTGTAGCTGTCTGGCATTTCCATCCTCTTTGTCAACAAAGGTCAGAGGGTCAAGGTCAAGTTTGAAAACATCACCAGCTGTAGTCTGAATATGGTTAACTGGTTTGAAAACTTCCGGAGGACTGTCACATGAATCTGAAAAATAGAAACATGTTTGTCACAGGAAATGTATGAAAAGATCCAAAATACATTTGGTATGGTATCATATATCTAGTTTTCATCAGTTTTTAATTGGGTGATGAAACACAAGGCTGTATTAATCTTGTCACTAGACATCTCCCTATCCCATCTCCGTATACCATCTCCCTATACCACATCCCTATCCCATCTCCATATATCATCTCCCTATACCATCTCCCTATCCCATCTCCCTATCCATAGAAATTCTTTACACAAAATATGACTAAAAGTAATTTGCCTGAAAGACAGCATCAACCATCAGAAATGAGTTCAACTGATTTCCCAATCATTATGTAATTTGATGTTCTAGCCAAGTTTTAAACTGAACAGTTACCATGGTTACAGTTTATCTACCTTAACTAGAAATGTAAATATATGGATATGTCTTTATAGTTTGATTGTGTTGATAAGTTGCTGTCTCATTGACATTTAACTGATCAGATCTCTTTTAATCGATATCAAACACAGAAAATGCTTATTGTTTCTTTAATCAAAACATAATGTATACACATCCAGTTGATCCATATAAATGGTTGCGTGATTATATCTAAAAATACACTGTTGACACAGAGATATGTCTTGCCTGTTTGCAGAAAATTCAGAAAAAGACAATCTGATGGACAGCAACATTGCTAATTAATTCAAAGTTGCTGAACCATGACCTAGGATCTACTTATTAAGTAGTTCCTATCAAACAAACTTAATTGGAAAGCTTAATATTGAAAATCACTTATTATTTGAAAGTCGCTGGACCATGACCTAGGGGGCAGGGCCTCAAAATAGTTGTCAAACTGATATAAACTGACAGTAATGCAACTTTATAGAAAATATTATTGATCTATCACAAGAAATTCCTATCAATCTGACTTAAGCAAAATAAATTGGGAATGTGTCCATGGGACACAGATGATGCCCCTGCTTGCATACAACATTATAAAGGGACATAACTCAAGAAAGGTAAAAATGACACTACTCAAATTCACCTTGATCTGAGTTTTGTGGTAATAAGCATCATGAGCATTGTGTATAAGTTTCATAACATTTGGTTGAGGCAAACTTTAGTTAGAGAACAGAAACGAAAACTTCAGCAATTTTTCCATTTCTAAAGGGGCATAAAGCTGGCATGTCAGTTAACTGCTAGTAGTCTGTTGTTATTTATGTATTATTGTCATTTTGTTTATTTTCTTTGGTTACATCTTCTGACATCAGACTCGGACTTCTCTTGAACTGAATTTTAATGTGCGTATTGTTATGCGTTTACTTTTCTACATTGGCTAGAGGTATAGGGGGAGGGTTGAGATCTCATAAACATGTTTAACCCCGCCGCATTTTTGCGCCTGTCCCAAGTCAGGAGCCTCTAGCCTTTGTCAGTCTTGTATTATTTTTAATTTTAGTTTCTTGTGTACAATTTGGAGTTTAGTATGGCGTTCATTATCACTGAACTAGTATATATATTTGTTTAGGGGCCAGCTGAAGGACGCCTCCGGGTGCGGGAATTTCTCGCTGCATTGAAGACCTGTTGGTGACCTTCTGCTGTTGTCTGTTCTATGGTCGGGTTGTTGTCTCTTTGACACATTCCCTATTTCCATTCTCAATTTTATAACTCTAGAATGGTAAAAAGTGACATCACCAAAATTCAAACTTGATCTGTGTTTTGTGGTAATAAGCATTGTGTATAACTTTCCTTGATATAAATGGGAGTTTGAAGGACTTGCTAATTTTCCCCTGAGGGCTGTTCTATTAAAACATATTAGACCTCCAAATAGATAAGGCACTTTGAAAATACAGTAACTTTCCATAGAAGCAAGTTAGAAGACATGCATACATTTTAACTAACAGTATTCTATATTTGCATACCAACCCATAGTGGTCAATTCAGGTTGCTTTCCCTATGTCCCATGTATGCTTTAATAAGATCAAGTATCATTCAAAAAAACAAGAGGCTCTCAAGAGCCTGAATCGCTCACCTGTATTTCAGAGGAGAAGATTTTTAACTGTTAGCAAACTTGATGAACAAATTGTGTAAAATTGTCTTTAAAGGGCAATAACTCCTTAAGGGGTCAATTGACAATTTTGGTCATATTAACTTTTTTGTAGATCTTTATACTTTGCTGAACATTATTGCTGCTTACAGTTTATATATATCTATAATAATATTCAAAATAATAACAAAAAACTGCAAAATTTTGTTAAAACTACCAATTCGGTGGCAGCAACCCAACAATGGGTTGTTCGATTCATCTGATAATTTCAGGGCCGATAGATCTTGACCAATTAAACAATTTTACCCCATGTCACATTTGCTCTAGATTTAGTTTTTGAGATATAAGCCAAAAACTGCATTTGACCCTTATGTTCTATTTTTAGCCATGGTGGCCATGTTTGTCGATGGATACAAACTTCGGATACAATTTATAAACAAGATACCCTAAGGAACATTTAGTTAAAGTTTGAAGGAAATTGGCCCAGTAGTTTCAGAGAAGATTTTTAAATGTTAGCAAACTTGATGAACAAATAGTGTAAAATTGTCTTTAAAGAGCAATAACTCCTTAAGGGGTCAATTGACAATTATGGTCATATTAACTTTTTTGTAGATCTTACTTTGCTGAACATAATTGCTGCTTACAGTTTATACATATCTATAATAATATTCAAAATAATAACAAAAAACTGCAAAATTTTGTTAAAACTACCAATTCAGTGGCAGCAACCCAACAATGGATTGTTCGATTCGTCTGAAAATTTCAGAGCTGATAGATCTTGACCAATTGAACAATTTTACCCCATGTCAGATTTGCTCTAAAAGCTTTAGTTTTTGAGATATAAGCCAAAAACTGCATTTGACCCCTATGTTCTATTTTTAGCCATGGCAGCCATGTTTGTTGATGGATCAAAACTTCGGATACATTTTATAAACTAGATACCCTAAGGAACATTTAGTTAAAGTTTGAAGGTATTTGGCCCAGTAGTTTCAGAGAAGATTTTTGAAATAGTTTACGACGACAGACGACGACGACGACAGACGACGGACGACTACGGACGCCAAGTGATGGCATAAGCTCACATGGGGCCCTTTGGGACCCGGTGAGCTAAATATACAGTTAAAAAATCGGTAATATGCATTTTAAATTACAGCAATGAGCCATTCAAACCTATCACTCCTACCCGTATTTCTAAACATACAGTGATCAACCATATCACAACTACCCATATTTCTAAACATAGTGATCAACCATATCACAACTACCCATATTTCTAAACATACAGTGATCAACCATATCACAACAACCCATATTTCTAAACATACAGTGATCAACCATATCACAACTACCCATATTTCTAAACATACAGTGATCAACCATATCACAACTACCCATATTTCTAAACATACAGTGATCAACCATATCACAACTACCCATATTTCTAAACATATAGTGATCAACCATATCACAACTACCCATATTTCTAAACATACAGTGATCAACTATATCACAACTACCCATATTTCTAAACATATAGTGATCAACCATATCACAACTACCCATATTTCTAAACATAGTGATCAACCATATCACAACTACCCATATTTCTACACATACAGTGATCAACCATATCACAACTACCCATATTTCTAAACATACAGTGATCAACCATATCACAACTACCCATATTTCTAAACATAGTGATCAACCATATCACAACTACCCATATTTCTAAACATACAGTGATCAACCATATCACAACTACCCATATTTCTAAACATAGTGATCAACCATATCACAACTACCCATATTTCTAAACATACAGTGATCAACCATATCACAACTACCCATATTTCTAAACATAGTGATCAACCATATCACAACTACCCATATTTCTAAACATACAGTGATCAAATATATCACAACTACCCATATTTCTAAACATACAGTGATCAACCATATCACAACAACCCATATTTCTAAACATACAGTGAGTGATCAACCATATCACAACTACCCATATTTCTAAACATACAGTGATCAACCATATCACAACTACCCATATTTCTAAACATATAGCGATCAACCATATCACAACTACCCATATTTCTAAACATACAGTGATCAACCATATCACAACTACCCATATTTCTGTAAATGCAATAGTTAAATGTTTCCACATTGGAGAGACCTAAATGGTTAAATACTTCATGATTTCAAGTACTTTTACTGTTTATAACATGAACAACAGTACTTTTGATTGCCAATTTGATAAAGATCACAATCAACATTTAAACAAATTACATAAGCACCCTTCCTTATGTTTAAATATAATGGCATCCACAAGTTACAGAAACAATCTTCGGGGAAATCAGGCTTGCTCATCAATAGTGCTGCATTATTTTCACTCCCTTTAGACATTTGATCCTTTTGGTAATGAGTGGCTGACCATTCTGGAATCAAGTTATTTTTAAGACCAGAAAATGTGCATGCATAAATAACACATTCAGTCTTAAAGGGTTTTATGTCAAGCCAATTTTTTATGCAAAAAAAAAAACAGTATTCATGGCTCTTTGACTATCATACAATTGTTGGAAGGACAACTTTCAAAAAGACATTTTTAGGAAACTTTGTAGTGAGTTCTTTCTTTGTATTTTGCAAATTTCGAAATTATTGCAAGGTTTTCATTAATGCGAATAATGCTACTCCTGAAATATGGCAATAATAAGAACTCACATTCTGATACCTGCCTTTCCTAAAATCACAATAATCAAACTCACAATTTTGTTCATTAGTCAAAAATCGCAATAATAAATTAAATGCACACACTAATTTCTGAATTTACAGTACCGGTATTTGAAAAAGTGTGAGAATACAACTTTGGTATCAATGCCATTTTTTTCAAATCTGGAACAATAGTACACACGCTGAAATGTCTCGCCTGCTTTACTGACCATTGATTTTATGTTGAAAGTCTTAAAAAATAAAGGTTTAACTAAAATCACAGAAACTTAGGTCAGATAAATGCTGTCAGACAGACACATACACCTTACAATTTATACACAAAATATATTTGATCTATTGCTTAGTCTTATAAGTGAAAAACAGACCCAAAAAAATGTGGATAGTGTAGACACACCTTACAATTCTTCCATACACCCAATATAGTTGACTTATTGCTTATAGTAATTGAAAAACAGACCAAACCACAAAAACTTAACAATGACCAATGAAACATGAAAATGAGGTCAAGGTCAGATGATACCTGCCAGACAGACATGTACATGTACCCATTACGGTCATTCCATACACCACATATAGTTGACCTGCTGCTTATAGTATTTGAGAAACGGACCTATCGGTAATCACGTAACTTTTAACCTTGATCATTGATCCATGAAATGAGGTCGAGGTCAGGTGAACCCTGTATGATGGACATGTAGACATTGCAAGGAACCTATATACCAAATATCGTTATCCTATTACGGTACTCAAAATAAGTGAGAAATTCACATGACAAAAAAACTCAAATTTTTTTTCAAGCAGTCATTGAACCATGAAAATGAGGTGAAGGACACTGGACATACGACAGATGGAAACTTCGTAACATAAAGTATCTGCAACAAGATATGAATTATCCAGGTCTTCTACCTTCTGAAATATAAAGCTTTATACAAATAGTTTACTCCGCCACCGCTGCTGGATAGTAATCCCTATGTCTCGCATACTGCAACTTTTGTCACATGTGAGACAAATACCAATAGCATAGTCATTTATTACCATGTGTAAAATTATTTCAGACGTAAAGTAAAACAAAAAAAAACTGGTCATAGAAATAGAATACATTATTAACATTTGATTGGTAATGTTTATGTCTTGTTTATAATTAATTATAAAAGCAAGTGGACATGGTAAATAAAGAGTTTCGCCATGAGTGCACAATACGCCTGTCGCTTTAAAAAGAATAAAGTTCCATAACTCCTCAATTTAATATCAGAAATTTATAAAAAAACTAAAGGGAGGTTATCTTAATAGATATAAACCAGTCACCAAAGTTTCATGAAAACTGCTCAAAAAACTTTTGAGTTATTGTCCGTAAACTGGAAAATCACCCTTTTTTAATAAAAAAAAACCCTATAACTCAGAAACATAAAATCTAAAATTTATAAAAATCCAAATGGAGCTCAAGTCAATAGATATAAACAATTCACCAAAGTTTCATTAAAACTGCTCAAAGCATTTATGAGTTATTGTCCGAAAACTGGAAAATCACCCTTTTTTAATGAATAAAACCCTATAACTCGGAAACATAAAACCCAAATATATAAAAATCGAAAGGGAGCTCACGTCAACAGATATAAACAATTATTCACCAAAGTTTCATGCAAATTGGTTAAAGCTTTTTTGAGTTATTGTCCAACATGTTGACGATGGACGGACAACGGTATACCATAATACGTCCCGTAAACAGGCGTATAATTATATGTAAAATAATATTTTATGTTCAGGAAGTAAAAGACAAGTTAGACTTTAGGCAGTGGAAAATAACTTGCATTTCCCTTGAAGTAGGAAGATATAAAGATTTTTTTAGAACTCAGACTTTCCAGAGTTTAAGCAATTAACTATGATTCATACCAGTTAGGAAACAAATACACAAAAAGAGGGGCACAATTAGTCTCCATCAGAATACCAATTATTTAATTGTGTCTGATTTAAATATAACAGATGCAACTTTTTTGCTTGATGAATAATTCCATACTGTAAGTGTTTGAACAAATACTTACATCCCTGTAGTGACTTCACTGCATTCTCATTCTGCAACAGTCTGCATGCTTCTACATCTATCAATATTCTATTTATCATGCTTCATTTAAAACAAACATCAAGAAATCTCTGAAAAAGAATCATGCTCTTCAAATGCACCATTTATTTTTTAAATCACTCTCTATATGTTAATGTACATAAAATTCGCACCATGCACAAATCAAGCAAAAATTGTAACAGATTGATGCAACACCAAATCATTTAACAACTGTAATGAGCAACACGACCGGTGCCACATGTGGAGCAGGATCTGCTTACCCTTTCAGAGCACCTGAGTTCACCCAGACTTTTTGGTGGGGTTCGTGTTGCTAAGTCTTTGGTTTTCTAGGTTGTTTTGTGTACTGTTGTTTGTCAGTTTATTTTCGACTTATGAGTTTGAATGTCCCTTTGGTATCCTTCACCTCTCTTTTATGACAAAGTTTAATCAGGGCTGTTCCAAGATTAAATGTATGGGGGTTGGAAGACACTTTTTTTGCACCCACCATGATGCATTAATATTAATTACCTACTACCCCCCACCATGCAAGTAGTAAATATACCCACCATGCATAAAATTGAATATTTCTTAAATTAAGTTTCATTCATTCTGATGTATTGTATACAATGGTACACCTTTTTTCCATCTAATAGAGTTTCCTGCATGCAGGGTAGGATATGCTATAAACCCACATTAGCAAAAAATATCACTATTAGTTTTTCAAGGGAGTCCTGTATGCCCCAATTGTATTCTCTCTCTGTTTTGTTTGTTAAAATTTCTGCAATGTTTGGCCTCTCTGTCACAAATCCTATTCTCTGTGTTGTTAAAGAGAGATCTTGTTCAGAGCATACATTACTTTGAACAATTCTTGTTTGATTGGTTCATTTAAGGTGGTACCAAACACCTTGACTAAAATTAATTTGGCTCGTTTATTTTTTCATAAAATTTTGACAAAACATTTACTTTGACCCTTTGACAAAAATATAAAAATTTCCAAAAACTTGAACCACACACTTTCTCAGAAAAATTTCATTGGATATATAGCAGTTTGACAAACACTAATTTAGATTTGAGAAGCTTAATATTTCCTTTACAATAGAATGTGATTAAAACGTTCAGCTGACTTTTACAGAATTATCTCCCTGCAGTTTTATGTACATGTACCACCTTAATATATCTGAGTAATCATATTTTGAATTTTTTAAATCTTTAATTACTACTAAATTGAAAAGATGGAATCATAGAATGGCAATATAAAATTTAATTTCTTTTCAGCTCTAAAATTTTAGGAGAGAGGGAGCAAGTTGATTAGAGAACAGTTAATTTGGTCTGGCCAAAAAAAGAAAAAAAAAAGTATGAGATAGGCTGTACTATTTGGGTTCAGTTATACTACAGAAAAAATAATTTCATTTTTGGTCCTGGGTTAATATATCCCATGATAAAATATTCAAAATGGGCAGGGTGTTCCCTAAAATGTTTTTAAATTCCCAACCACCTTCTTTTAAAAAACAATGGCAGGGGTCCTAGTGAAAATGCTTTCTAATTCGTCATCCTTCTACGGAGCCCTTCATCAAGAGTGGGCAAAGGAAGAAACAAAGCTCAGGGATTGGAGATGAAGCTCTGAAAGAACTTCATCTCTCTACAAGAGATAGATCATCATAAAAACCAATCACAATGAAAAAATAAAAGAACTCATACCTGGAAGTGAATTTCGATATTTATATTATTTCTGATAGCCCAGACCTTTTCATTCATTTACTGTTACAACTCACCCCCCTTGTTTTACATGCTGTTTTTTAGCCGAGAAAATATTCATCAGAATCCTAATTCAAATCTATAAAAATTTCTCTTCTACCTATGATTACATCTTTTTGGTTTTCCAGGACAGTTTCATTGTATAACCATCCTATAATATCTTTCATATATATTCCAAATGATTGAGTCTGAAACATGAACATTGCGACAACAGCTTCTAATTTCATATCTTTTAACACCCCGTCCTAAGGCATTATTGAAAAAGTTTTCATGAATTTCCAATGAAAGAGAAACCCTGAGATGCACTATATTGAATTCAATTATGACCCACTATGGATTATTTTCAATTCTAATATGACGTTCTTCAAACGCTTTGAGTACACACCCGTGGTAAAATTCGAATATATTCATATGTCAGCTGATAGTCAACGTCATGATTTGTTTGGGCTCTTCCAGTCCTACTCCCACATCATATGTTTTTTATAAATGATTTACCTCACGTCAGATGGTGAAAATTACGTCATTGAAAGATGACGTAATAATGTAAGGATTTTACGGGAAAATGCACGAATGGGAAACTGAGAGTCTTCAAAACATGAAAACATAAACGAAATTTGTATAATGTCCATATCTTCTTAAACATGTTAAATAAAAGTAAGAAAGTCAATTAAATTCATCAGAATCTGTCTTAGTATATCATTGTATATCGTTTAATAATGTCTCTTATTCAATTATCTTCATCGTTTACGTCAATATTAATAGTGTGTTCAATTTCGGGAACAGCAAACATTTCCCTTCACATAGAGCGCTTTGATCCAAAAGAATTGCTCTCTTTGTCCTATTAGAATAGAAATAATTCATGGGGGCTTGAGTTTATATTGATTTTACCACAGGTTTGCCCTTCATGCTGATATTTTACCCCTCGCTGCGCTCGTGGTAAAATATTTAGCATAAAGGGCCAACCCGTGGTAAAAATCACGATAAATTCAAGACGGTATGAATTATTTCTTAAATAATTTTGCTCCCACCAGACATGAAAATTTAATAGCACTGCCAACCGACCCTCCCATGCATTTAACTCTAGAACAGCCCTTAACAAATAGAAACACATGGAAAATATGAAACAGCGCTCTATTGCATGTCTATCATCTGGTCATATTCGGTAAACTTCGGCAATAAAACACGAGATTTAATCCTGTTATTTAGCAGGCAAAATTTTCACAGAATGAAATATCATTAGTCTATTATATGTTATTGTTATGGATTCATAATAAATATAAATAAACTGTTATCACAGAGATATGTCTCGCCTTTTTGTAATTTTGATAATGCAAATGTTGAAATTAAAATAGCAATACTTTAACATGTAAGTTATACAAATATTCAAAGTCGATGAACCATGACTGAAGGTACATGGCTAAACAATCTCCATGAAATGAGATGTGCCAATGCTAATACAACTGCATACCAAATACCATTGACTTATTATAAGTCGTTCCCTTTAAACAAACCTAAACACAAACATTAACTTGTAAACTATGTAAAAGTTTCAAAGTCAATGAATCATGATCAGGGGTGGGGCTATATAATCTCCATGGAAACGATACTTGCAAATGCCAATAAATTTGCATACCAAATATCATTGACTTAACATTAGCAGTTTATCTTAAACTGATCTAATCACAAACTAATACATGTAAACTATGCAAAAGTTTCAAAGTAAATAGACCTTGACTGAGGGGGCGGGGCCAAATATTCTCCATGGAAATGAGATGTGCTAATGCTTATACAACTGAACACCAATTAACATTGGCCTACCACTAATGGTTCCCCTTGAACTGACCTAATCACAAACTAATACATGTTAACTTAGCAAAATTTTCAAAGTCTATAGACCATGACTAAGGGGACGGAGCCAAATAATCTCCATGGAAATGAGATGTGCTAATGCTTATACAACTGCATACCAAATATCATTGACCTACCACTAGTGGTTCCCCATAAATTGACCTAATCACAAACTAATACATGGAAACTATGAAAAGTTTCAAAGTCAATAGACCTTGACTGAGGCGGCAGGGCCAAATAATCTCCATTGTAATGAGATGTGCCAATGCTAATACAACTGCATACCAAACCATGAACTAGACCTAATCACAAACTAATACATTGTTGAGGCCGCTGCCGCCGTCGCCGCCGGAAACAGCTATCTATGTCTAGCTTTTTGACTCCGTCAAGACGAGACAAAAATTCGTAAGGGTTCAACGGAACCCAGTGTTTCGCCTTCTTTTGCTGTTGTCTTTGTTTTCAGTGTGAAAGGGGAATGCACATAATAGATTTGCAGTTAATGAAATAAAACGTTTGAAATGTATGAAAAAAGTTATGCTTGTAAAAAATGAATACAGTATGCAATCAAATCTATAGATTTATAAAAGAGTTGAAACATAAATTTATTGAATGATCAAATGATAAAGAAGATAATTTCTAAAAAAGTTTGGTAAAAATCCAGGATGGTTTATGAATCTAATAAATGTTTTAAAAACTCTAACTACAGACTGTATGTAATGTTAACTGGAAGAAAAACTAAGTCCATTTATAAGTAATATACAGAAAAACAGGAAATAAGTTTTTACAAAATTTACTTCTGGATATTATCTTATGATCATAAACAAGCTTCTGTCCAAGTTTGGTAGAAATCCAGGATAGTTTAAGAAAGTTATTAAAATTTTAAAAACTTTAACCACAGAGTGAATATTTGTGGACGCCGCCATAGCTGAAGATGACGACGGAATGTAGGATCACCATGTCTCGCTTTTGTGACAAAAGTCACAGGCTCAACAAAAATCATGCATTCAGAACTTAATTTAGTACATAATTATATATATATACAAACTGATATACATGCACTGGTTCAATAATTAATTTAATTCAAGAAACTTGTTTTATATGACTTTATATTTTAACACAATGAAATAAAATGCTTCGCTGAGCGCAGCCTGATAAGACAGCAGAGGTCGAAACATGAACAGTTGGTACAAATTTGGACACAATATTCAAGCTTGATACTGTCTGAATTTGGATTGTGATCAAATTTTTGACATAATATAGATTTCTGACACAAAATAAATGTTGTCAAAGATCTTACAAATCTATTGCACAATTCAGTGCAATTGAAGATTTCTTCTTGAAACTTTTCAAAAATTCAAAATTTGGAAATTTTGAAAAAAAAATATGAATCCTCTAAAAAAAAATTGGAAAACAAAATCCCCCCCCCCAAACTTTTTGAAACCCCCCTTGGAGCAAAAACCCCAAAACTCGATCCCACTCTTTCCTTTGTAGTATGGAACCTTGTAGTACAATTTCAGAGAGATCCATACACTTAAACACAAGTTATTGTCTGGAAACTAGAAAAATGCTTGTTTTTGGTCCTTTTTTGGCCCCTAATGCTGACATATTTGGGCAATTAACCCCAAACTCAATCCTAGCCTTCCCTTTGTGATATGGAACCTTGTGGTAAAATGTCAGAGAGATCCATACACTTACACACCATTTATTGTCTGGAAACTAGAAAAATGCTTGTTTTTGGCCCCTTTTTGGCCCTTAATTCCTAAACTGTTGGCCCCATAACCCCTACAATAAATCCCAACCTTCTACTTGTGGTATTAAACACTTATACACAAGTTATTATCCTGAAACTAGAAAAATGCTTGTTTTGGGCCCCTTTTGGGCCCCTAATTCCTAAACGGTTGGGACCATCATCCCCAAAATCAATCCCAACCTTCCTTTTGTGGTATTGAACCTTCTTAAAATATTTCAAAGAGATCCATTCACTTAAACTAAAGTTATTGTCCGGAAACCAATGTGTCTTCGGACGAAGACGCAGATGCAGACGACGACATCATACCATTATACGATCCCAAAAATTTTTTTGCGGCCGTATAAAAACAACTTATTATACTGATATATATAACACAATCTAAATTTTTTGTAAAAAAACAATCATATTTCATATTTTGTCATCCTTGATTGGTCAGTAAATGAATATAGCAATATTTTTTTTTAATAAATTATAAACATTTGATTGCTTTCTGCATGTTTGTGCTTTAATTTAAGACAACAATAGGAACTCTTAGGATTGTCTTAACATGTAAAGTAGGATTATCTTAACATGTACAGTAGGATTATCTTAATGTGTACAGAAGGATTATCTAACATGTACTATACAGGATTATCTTAACATGTACAGTAGGATTATCTTAACATTCACAATAGGATTATCTTAACATGTACAGTAGGATTATCTTAACATTCACAATAGGATTATCTTAACATGTACAGTAGGATTATCTTAACATTCACAATAGGATTATCTTAACATGTACAGTAGGATTATCTTAACATTCACAATAGGAATATCTTAACATGTACAGTAGGAATATCTTAACATGTACAGTAGGATTATCTTAACATGTACAGTAGGATTATCTTAACATTCACAATAGGATTATCTTAACATTCACAATAGGATTATCTTAACATGTACAGTAGGATTATCTTAACATTCACAATAGGAATATCTTAACATGTACAGTAGGAATATCTTAACATGTACAGTAGGATTATCTTAACATGTACAGTAGGATTATCTTAACATTCACAATAGGATTATCTTAACATGTACAGTAGGATTATCTTAACATGTACAGTAGGATTATCTTAACATTCACAATAGGATTATCTTAACATGTACAGTAGGATTATCTTAACATTCACAATAGGATTATCTTAACATGTACAGTAGGATTATCTTAACATTCACAATAGGATTATCTTAACATGAACAGTAGGATTATCTTAACATGTACAATAGGATTATCTTAACATGTACAGTAGGAATATCTTAACATGTACAGTAGGATTATCTTAACATGTACAGAAGAATTATCTTAACATTCACAATAGGATTATCTTAACATGTACAGTAGGATTATCTTAACATGTACAGTAGGATTATCTTAACATGTACAGTAGGATTAACTTAACGTGTAAAGTAGGATTATCTTAACGTGTACAGTAAGATAATCTTAACGTGTACAGTAGGATTATCTTAATGTGTACAGTAGGATTATCTTAACATGTACAGTAAGATTAGCATAACATGTACAGTAGGATTATCTTAACATGTACAATAGGATTATCTTAACATGTACAGTAGGATTAACTTAACGTGTAAAGTAGGATTATCTTAACGTGTACAGTAAGATAATCTTCAATGTGTACAGTAGGATTATCTTAACGTGTACAGTAGGATTATCTTAATGTGTACAGTAGGATTATCTTAACATGTACAGTAAGATTAGCATAATGTGTACAGTAGGATTATCTCAACATGTACAATAGGATTATCTTAACATGTACAGTTGGAATATCTTAACATGTACAGTAGGGAAGCTTTATCACCAAGGACTGACATACAAGTAAACCTACCTGCAGTGGAAATCTGTTGAGGAAATTCTATAACAAATGTTACTGCCACTTTCCAGGGAACAGTAGATGTACAATGTTCAGAACTAACTGTGATAAATATATTAGAACTGCCTACATTATCCTTTTCAGGGTTACCAACAATCAGCTGATCTGTGGTTTTATATTCTAACCAGTCTGTACCATTCTTATCCTGTAATTATGAACAAATTTTATATCAATATTTACCCACTATCAACTATATATGTCATGTATGTAGGTAACCACCATATGCAAGCAATTACACACCTTTTAACCACACATCTTATCTTTTACACACTGTATAAACACTACATGTAACAGGGCTTACACTACTTCAGAATCATAGGGAGAAGTGGTACTTCACTTTTTGAAAAGGATAGGGAGAAATGATGAGAAATGGGGCATAACTCAAGAACGGTGAAAGTGATGCCACCCAAATTCAAATTTGATCTGTGTTTGGAGATAATAAGCATTGTGTATAAGTTTCATAGCAAACTAAAGTTGGAGAACGGAAACCAGTTTAGTATGAACGTACAGACGGATGGCTTACAAAGGAATAGAAGGACAGAAGTACGGACATACAAGTATAAACCTTAATGCCTGCACCACTCAACAGGGGCATAAAAATACTTCATAAAAAGCAGTTTCTTGGAAATAACATACAACAAATCTGTAATGTTAATGCTTTCCCCACATTTCTAAAGAAATAAATTGTTTATTTCTTCGAATTTCTTTACATATGCCTTAAAAATTGCTGTTTCATCAACTTTGTAAAAATGAAAAATTGCCCATGACGAAAGCGACTGTTGTGAACACCAGTGTCATTTTCACCACATGTAAGCATTTACACACTATATATTACCACCATATGTAAGCAATAAAATACTTTATAACTACACATGTAATCATTTATTCACTATAATAACCACAAAATGTAAGCATTTACACACTTTCTAACCATACTGTACATGTAATCATTTATATCATGTATATCATGTATATGTACAACATCACCACAAGTGTAATCATTTACACCTTATATAAGTGCCATATGTAATCAATTACATATCTTAAAAACACACATATAACATGTATAATTTATTTCACACTTTAAAACCACACATACAACATGTATAATCTATTTCATACTTTAAAACCACACATACAACATTTATCATGTTTAAAATCTATTGCACACTTCAAAACCACTTTTCTTGTTTAAATTGTTTTTTAAAATGTTTATTTGACAATGCCATATTGGGGCCTTTTAGAGCTTGCTATTGACAATGCCATATTGGGGATTTTCAGAGCTTGCTATAAGGTATTGGTTCTAGTCATTGTTGAAGGCTGCATTGGTGACCTATACTTGCTAACATTTATGTCAAATTGATCTCTTGTGGATAGTTGTCTGATTGTGAATTGGCAATAATACCACATCCTCTAATTTCTAACCTGGACCTAGAAAAGGCAAATAATGTGACTAGGTTATATATAAAAATAAGTACTGTAAATTCAGAAATTATAGCACGCATTTATTGTTGCAATTTTTGAAGAATGGACAAAAATGCAAGATTAATTAATGCGATGTCAGGAAAATCTGCATACAGATATATGTATTAGATATCAGAATGCGAGTTCTTATTATTGCAATACTCACCTAGTCCCATTATTCACATTAATAAAAACCTCGCAATAATTTCTGAATTTACAGTAGATGTGGTACGATTGTCAATGAGAAAAAATTCCACCAGAGACCAAAAGACATAAAAGTTAGCAACTAAAGGTCACCATACAGGTATATCATGTATATGGCATGTTTGTGAGCACTTTACATGTATCTTCCTCCTTTTCCTTGGACATTTTCTAATTATGCATAGTTGTACATACTATATTGATAGTGTAAACATCTGAGTTCATTTTTTCTATCTGGCAAATCAGTTGTTCTCCGGCTTTCCAATATATTACTGTACTTTCATCAAATCCTATCAAACAATCAAATTTCTTCTTTCCTGAGCATCCTACTCCTACCATGAAACACACCACAATCATTGTCATTCCAGCTAACTCTGAAGGCATTGTACCTGAAAATAAAAGAAATATAACAATTAAGATGGAGATTTTTAACTACTGTTAAAGGTCATGTATTGTAAAAAGGAATTATATGTCTATTTTTCAGTGCTTGCCTGCCTGAAACATTGAAAGTTGCTATAACTTCAACTAGAGGCTCTAAAGAGCCTATGTCACTCACCTTGGTCTATGTGCATATCAAACAAAGGACACTCTAAACATTGTAGACAAGAATAGACTTCATGACAAAAATCTCTATTTTGTTGATCTTGTATTACTGATCTTTTAGTCTGTTTACATGGTTTAGTTTCTCTCTATCTTCTCAAAAAACAAAAGAGGGTAAAAAAAAATCCTCATTTAAGATCAATCACTCCTATGAAGATTGACAGTCTACTAACTATATCGGCAAAATTTGACTTTTTAATAGATCTTGCCTTGCTGATAATTTTTGTGATTTAAAGTGTTTATTTATCTGTTATAATTTAAATCATATAAGGCATAACGGGGAAAAAAATGTTTCTCTCTAAATATCATAGTTTTCATGATAATAGGCAAAAATGAAAAAAATGGTAAAATTTGTCATTTATGGGCAATAACTCCTATAAGAATTTGTCTAACCGTGCCAAAATGACTACATAGGGTGTTGATTTGACTAGGTGCCAAATTGACTAAACTGGATGGCGATTTGACTAGGTGCAAAGTAACAAGAAGTCGGACTAATGGACAATACACCTTATCGCTATTTGTCCGCCATTACTGGACATCACACAACAGGTCAGGAATAACCACCAATTGGTGGATTATACCTCAATTGACGTATAATCCACCAATTGACATATAATGGTATAGACCAATTGACGTATAATTCTTTGTTTTTCAAAGCAAATTATTCAACCAAAATGGAGCATTGTTTTTTTAAAACCATATTATTGTATTAAAACATGTCAAACATTCCTAGTTTAGTATAGTGACATAACATATTGCATTTAATCAATAATTGTATTTGCAGTTTCTTCTATTGTTATTGTGTCAATTCTTGCAAATTTATCACTAATCACCTGTCAATGGACATCAATACTGTCTGCAGTCATGTGATTATGAGTACAACTCCACAGGTGAATGAAGCTCTTTGTTAATACTTGACTTTCATTATTAAAAGTCAATCATGGTCAATAGTACAGATGTTTCATCAAAAGAATTGTTGTATACATGCATTCTCAAGAGATGCAGCAGGCTTTGACAAAACTGAAACTTTCGGAGGACTCAATAATGGTCATAAAATAGGTTGTTAGTTGCAAAATGATGCTCCTATCTCACACTAGCATTTTATAACAAAAAAACTTGCATTATACGTCAATTGGTCTATACCAATATATGTCAATTGGTGGATTATACGTCAATTGAGGTATAATCCACCAATTGGTGGTTATTCCTTACCTGCACAAGTTCCCGTAAAATCTTGACGTCATAATAGAAAATATCTGACGCCACAATGGAAAAGTGATTGTTGTATGAGGTCAAAAGTTGGAGCGGGACTGTCTCTCGGGTCAAGCGGGATTAGCGATAAGGTGTATTGGATCGTCAGACTACTGGACTGTCGAAATATCGGAAGTCAGACTAACGGACAATTGGATCGTCAGACTACTGGACTGTCGAAATATCTGAAGTCGGACTAACGGACAATTGGATCGTCAGACTACTGGACTGTCGAATTTCCGGGGTGTCGGACTCTCAAGAGTAAAATTTATAATTAATATAAAAAAATTAGCCAAAAGGCTGATAAAAGTCCTATGATTAGGAGTTAAACAATTTGATTGTAACCGAGCCCTTGTGTTTTATGCATGAATGTTGAAGTTCTGGAGCCACCATTTACCTCACATATAACTCGTATTTGTGTGGCTGAAATAAGATATTTCGATACTTTTCAGGTCTTCTACAGGTTACTGTTTCTTGAAGAATAGTTGAACAAGAAAACAAAGAAATATTCTGAAACCAGGTCATATATTATAAAAGTTTAAGTCAATCTCGGACTAAATCCGGAAAAGAAATATATATTTTGTTAGATAATTTTTTTTTTTGCGAATTATCTTTAAAAATATATAGATGAATTTTGTTCATCCCATTAAATATACTAAATTCAAAATCAGAAGACAAAACACTTTAAACTTCCCGATGTAAAAAGTCATAAAACCTTCCCGATGTAAAAAGTCATAAAACCTTCCCGATGTATATATGTCTCTGGTGTAGGCTATATTGGTTTTTTTTTTGGTTGTGATTTTTGATCATTTTTAATTTTCATTATGTTGTATATTTTTGGTGTTGAAACTGTTCGAGATACGAAAGTATGGTTACCCTATAAAGGGTGTGTTGATCCAGAAAAGAAGAAGAAGAAGTTAGGCAGTGGCTATTTCACCGCCGACAAAATAGAAAATATGCTATTTTGCCGGCTCTCATACCCAAGAATGAAGGCCACTAATGGCCGATTACCCTTATCAGTGACACCCGGGGTGCAATGTTTTTAATGATATTCGATTAATATAGAAAGTAATGGGAAAATAAATAGGTACCCTTCATTAATTCTTCATATTATTTTTATTAATCATCTGAATTCTTATTAACACATACGACCGAATTCTACATAGATTTACCTTTCTGGTGGTATAAAAAAAATCAGTTTATCTTATCTCATTGTTAGGTCTCCGATTTTCGGTCATTTTAGAAATACACTGTTTAAAATGTTCTTGTGTGAAAAAATGTAACGCTTACAACACATTGAATGTTGGTTTCTCTGTTATAATGATGAATGTGTTGTCATTGTAAATGAATATTAAAAAGCAGATTGCTAAAGACCTGGTGACAAGTTTTAATCTTATGCACAGCAAAAGAGGCCCTTCTTCGTTGATATATTGGGTTTTTCGTGTATTTCAAAACACCTTTTGTCTGGTGCATATGCCACGACTCATAAAATCTAACTTATATTTATTAATTTATTTTGTCCGACGAATTTGTGTCCCTGACTTTTTTTTTTAAATTTAAACTGATTAGCCGTTGTTTTTTTTTATCATCTAAAAGAAAGTGTACATTTTATTGTCATGCACCAAAAATTACCGTTAACATCATTTGACATGAATTTTTACTTTCATTTGTCATGAATGTACCATCCATCATATGACCCTCATACAGTGTGTTGAAGTCGAGTACATTTGAAATGTTAATCAAATCTAAAAAAAATCACAGAATCATGTTAACTATTCAACTTAAGTTCTTTGTTTTGATTAATTTTTAAATTCATGACTAATGATACTTGATTTAAAAAAAATAGATATATAACAAATGAATTAATATTTTATCATTTTATATATGTTGTAGCAGGGGTGGATCCAGCCATTTTTTAAAAGGGGGTTCCAACCCAGGATAAAAGGGGGTGGGGTCCAACCATATGTCCCCATTCCAAAGCATTGATTGTAATAAAAAAAGGGAGGGTCCAACCCCTGGACCCCCCCCCCCTCTGGATCCGCAACTGTGTACACAAAGGTCTAATGAATAAATACAAACAAACAGGTTATTCATGGGACCCTTTTCATGGAAGAAAATACTGTTTTTAATTTGGGTGATTATTCTTTCAAAAGAATTTAGTATTTCTGGACAAAAGACTGGCATCTAATGCGAAATTGGCAAGAGTTGGCAGTATTGATAATGGACAATTAACATGGTAAAATGGAGACCGTACTTTGACCTATAATGGTTTACTTTTACAAATTGTGACTTGGATGGAGAGTTGTATCATATTGCCATTGGCACTCATACCACATCTCCATATATCTATTAACTATAATTGCAAAGATATAGATTTTTAATAAAGATTTTTTTTTATATATTTACCTATATAATATGTTATGTAAAATTTTAAATAGGTGAAAAGTCTGCAGAAAAAATAAAGATGATGAAGAAAATGATCAAGAAGAAGATGATGATGATGATCAAGAAGAGAATGGACTATCTCCTCCTGATCAAAAGAGACAAAAAACTTGACATGGCATAAATGAATTTTAAATGTACACGGAAGAAGAAACTTAAGACTGTACTGTACTACAATTAAATGTGATGGACAAAATATATAATTTTTTTATTGTTGTATCTTTCATTTTAGCTAGTAAAATTTACTTTCATATTCTGTTTTAGAATTTTCATTTTTGACACATATTGCCTCAAACACAGACTGTATCTTACTTTCGTTACTTTGACAACAGTCAGTTTTTACTAATCCATTTTGTCATAACCGCTATAGGGTATAAGATGAATATACTTAAGACAAAAATTTCATGAAATATTTAGAATTACATATAATACAATGAATAAAAAACACCGTCATAGGTACAAGTGATGCTGAGGTGAAAGTGTAAAGAAAATAATAATATTGAAAGTAGAGCTGTCTGTCAGTCTGCAGGGGCGGGTCCAGGTGAGGGCGTAATGGGCGTACGCCCCCCCCCCCCTTTAAAAAAAAAAAAAAAAAAACTATCGTAATCTTCTTATATAGTATTGAATATGTCAGTATTCATTAATTATTTTATGTTTTTTAGCAAAAAAAAGGACCAAAAAAATTTTCGCCTCGCTCCGCTCAGCTAAATATTTCATTCTACGCCCCCTCTTTCAAATATCCTAGAAACGCCCCCTGGTCTGTCTATCTATTCATCAGTCCTGTTCTTGCCATCCCACCCCTTTGAAACCATATCAAAATCAAACTTTGTAGGTTACTGTTAAGGACATACTTAATAGATGTGCAAAATGACAGGAAATTATGATTCAGTTTTTATTCTTCTTAGAGTTATGCCCCTTTGAACTTAGAATTTTGGTCTAAATATACTACTGCAACAGTTAGTTGTAGCAACTCATCTGAATCCACATAACAGAATTTCATGAAACTTTGTAGTTAAATAGGACATAATATGTAGATGTGTATATCTACAAGAACGTATCTTTTGTAGGAGTTATGAGTCTTTGAACTTAGGATTCTGGTGAGATTTTGTTTGTCCGGTGACAATGTGGGGGCATGGGGTACATGAGCATGCTTGCTACGATTCTTTAAGTTTCAAAATTGAAATAACAGCTTGAATGAATAAATTTAAAAAGAGATGTGGAGTATATGCCAATGAGACACATCATAACAAAACAAAAACAACAGGAAGAGATCTTGATATGATCTTCAACAGATGCCTATATAATGTCAAAATCATTAATGTGACTATAAGAGCAAAAAGTTTCTTCAAATTGATTTCAATTGTGTCTGTTATTCAAATATTAGAAATAAAATCGGTGACATTCCAAGATTATTACAAAAAAACCTGTATCCAAGACTGCAATGGAAATGACTGTAACAGAGATCTTCATTCAAGAGCCTTACTCTTTTAATCTTTATCTTTACACCATTTATGGATGAAAATAAGAATTTTGTTTAAAAGAAGAAACCATAGGTTTTAAAAATACATGATCTTTCTCTATAACACATCCCAAACATCTACTTTTATTCCAAACTGTGGGATGAATTAGAAATTGACCAACACTATCATGAGGTGCATCGATCAAGTTTATATAAGATTTTTTTCTGCAAGCAACCAATAACAACTTTGTTTCTATATTGGAAATAACTATTCAAAGAGCTGATTATGGTCCCACACAACAGTCACAGATTTGGTGGATATTATAATGGATCATAATGTCTCTACTGTAGATGAACAGCTTACACGTATCTAATATAGTAATATGTGTCTGTCCGTCTGTGTCAAGTTACTTTTATACTATTCAACTTACGTTAACCAAACTTGGTATGCAGTTGCATCATGGGCTTCAAGGATTTGTCATATCCAAAAGTCAGGTCACTCATAATTTTTGTACCATAGAACTTAGGTAGACCAATTTTGTCATGCTGATACAACATGGGATTGGGGTGTATGATTTACCAAAGTAAGGTCACTCTGACTTTGAAATTGTCCTATGATCCGCGTGATAGTAAAACGTTTTCTGATTTGTGTTTGGTGTATAAATATTCTTCTTTAACACATTATTCTGATCTTGATATTAATTTGTGAATTTTCAATAAAACAACAATGAGCTTTTGTCATCACTTCGAGTCTCTTGTTGTCTGATATCCTTTACAAAAATCTTTTCCTTTAAGCATAGCATAACAAGATCTACAAATAAGTCAACATTACCGAAATTGTTGATCGACATCTGATTGAAGTTATTGCACTTTAATGACGTTTTTTACAAATTATTTTGCATTTTTTGCCTGTAATCTTGAAAAGTATAATGGATTTAAACTTAAGAAATCAAAAATATATCAGCAGATAAATTTACTCATGAGTCAACATGACCAAAATCATTTATTGACTTCTCTTTTAGTTATTGGTGTTCTTTTTAAAATATTATCTGGGCACTCCGGCTTCCTCCACCATTAAAAACTGGCCGCCACGAAATAGCCTAAATGTGGTGCTTAAAAGGGGCGTTAAACACCAAAAATCAATCAATCAAACTTTTTAAAATATGCCGAATCTACTCTTGTATTCAGATTTTGAGCCCCGTTTTAAATTGGTACACATTGGGGTCTAAAGTGTCATCAAAAATTGCATTGTTGAGGTTCTTTGATATGCTGAATTTAACTGTGTATTTGGATTTTTTTTATTTTAGCCACATTTTACTATGGGTCAACATAAGGGGCCATGCAAAGGGTCCAAAATAAACTTTGTTCATATTGTAAAAACGTTTTTTTTAACTGAGTTAAACAAATATCAGTGTTTAGATATGTACTCATTTAAATGCTTTAGACAATATCATGCAAAATTTTCAAAAATTATGCAGGTAATTGGAGCCTCATGTTTTTAGGTTTGACTGTTCATTTTGCCTTTAGGGAATGCTTTATTATCTGAACAAAATTCTGTTACATATTTTGTGAAACACCTTGTGTCAGGTTTCATTTATTATATTTTTCTACCCAGCCAGTTAC